TGTAGGTGAGTCTCTAGGGAATGCAGTTTCAGGAAAGCAGTTCTGGTACGCAGGGATGATTATCAGCTGATGCGGCACAGCAGTCATCTTGTAGTTACCAGGAATGGTGTTGTGGGCATCTGCAGTGTGAATTGTCCTTGGGTATCTGGCTTCCTCAAGAATGGCAGAGTAGTTCCTGTTTTCCCCCAGGCAATGCAGGGCGGGGTAACCGTCATCTTCTCAAGTTGCAAGCTCTTCAACCTTGTTTACGGCCTCCGGGCCATCCAGCGCCGATGGCCCCGGAGAGGCCAGGGTTGCCGGGCAGGGGCGTAAGCCCCCCGGCTGCGCAGGGGGCGTGAGCCCCGGGCCGCGGGGCCCCCACCGGCAAAAATTATAATGTGATTTTAATTAGACACACAGTATATATAGATCAACTTGGAAGAAATTTGATATTACATTTGATGTTCATGAATAGATTTTTTTTTTCTTTTTAAGATTTTTGCCATAGGGCATGTGTACTTGCTGGAGAGAGACAGAGAGGGAAAGTGAGACATCACCCACCAGGGGGCATGGCCGTACTACAGTACCTTCACCTTCATTCTGCTCTCGGGATTTTGGGCACATAAGCACATGTGCCCAGCATGATTTTCAAGCTGTTTGGCTCTAGGGCTCAAACCATGTGGGAGTCCAGCGCCCTTACCACCATACCACCATTGACCCCGGGAATTGAGAATTCTTATCAATGACGGTGAATTAAGTATTCCTATGCAAGAGTATTCATGAATTGATTATTCCTTTCCATGGATATTGTATACGTTTTATTGTTTATTCATGTTCCCTATATTTTTCATTTTTTTTTATGTGTGTGTTTTTTATTGTCAGAGGCATGTGCTCTCGCCAGAGAGAGGCGAGGGCGAAAACACTCTGTACTGGGTATGGTCATGCCACGATCCTTTTCTCCGTCTGTCCATTTTGTCAGGGTTTTGATCACTCTTGTGCATGTGCCTAGTATGTTTTTCAAGCTGCTGGGACTGGGACTTGATTGCAGTCAGTCAGGTGAGATTTGATTCCTTATGTATCATGTTTAATCACTGTGCTATGGGGCTGGTCCGGGTCATGCTTTATTATATTATTTATAAAGTTTTTCCATGTCTTTCACTAGATTAATATTTAGGTACCCATGGGGCCAGCAGATGGCATGGTTGACCATGGTTTGACTCCCGGATCTGGTGGCTTGCTTTCTTACTTTCTCTCTCTCTCACTCTGTCCCTCTCTAGTCAAATTAAAAAAAAATAAATAATCATTCAATCAGTCAATCAATTTAAATAAAATAATTCTTAAAAAATTGAGGTCCCTTTATGCTTTTATTGATGGTGTGAATGTTTTTTCCAGTGATACCCTAGTTAGTTATTCCCATCATATAGGAATGCTATTGAGGTTTGTCAATTGTTTTTAAATCCAACGTCCTTGCTGACTTTTCTTATTGGTCTGACAGTCTGCAATTAAAAAAAATCTTGCAGACTATTGAATTTCTTGCAAATAATGGTTATATTTTCTGTTTCAATTCTGGTACTTCATGTGTCTTTTCTTGGTCTTGCGCTGGCTAGAACTACTAAATAGAAACTAGAACAGGAGAGAGACAGGTGCTTCGGTCTTTCTTTCTTTCTTTTTTTTATTTAGAGGTGTTTGCCACAGTCTGCATGTGCTGACAGAGGCAGTGAGA